TCATGTTCACTTCTGCACAGATTGTGCAGTATGGAACAAATGGGTCTGAAATGGATAGTCATAGCAAAATTGACTAGAAGATATTGGTTGCCAATTAAATTCCCCAGAACCAAGTCTTTTGGAGAGAAATCAACTGATAGGAAGAGAATGGGAAGGAATTATTCCAACCTGTTACCCCCAAGTGATTGGTAAGAGAGGGAGAGCTACAGTTCAAATGGGATCTATGGTTATGTATGTGATTGTGGTTGTATTATACACACATGCTTGTGGATTTACATTTTGCTTGGTAAAGTTCTAGACCAACTGTGGATTTTCTATTTCTTGTTACTATGGCTATGTTTGTTTTAAAAAATGCTTGCTTTGGGAGATATTAAATCTTAAAATAGAAAGTGGCAATTTATGCAACTGAGGGCCAAACTTCACATTTTTGGGATGGCCAAGGGGTGCAGTGCGTGAAGAAAATATATGGGGTCACATTCAATTATTTTCTCCTTAGGTTTGGACGTCAGGGAATTTAGATGGCTGTTTTTAGGTTCATGCTACATTTTTAGGTCCAGTTCATAATTTTGGGGAACCTTGCAAACAATGTTCAGCAATCACTGACTGAAAATTCCGCAGGATAAAGACCATACGTAGTGCTGAGCTATGTATGTAGATTTCTTAGAAGTAAGAAAACCACATATTTTCCTTGTTGCAGACAATAAAAAAGGTGCAAGGTAAAAACAGTGCACTGGATCAGACAAAGTACACATCTATTTTTGTTTGGTCAACAAGTAGTCTCATAGCTGCGTTCAGAGAATTCATAAACAGAGATAAGAAAAATATATCCCTCCTTGCTGCTATTTTCCAGCATTTAAGGTACCTGCCTCTGATTCAGGAAAGGCTAAACAATTTTCAGGACCAGCAGTCACTGATAGCTCTATGCTCTGTGAATTTCTCCAGATCTCCTTTAAAATTAAGTATATTGAGAGAGTGACTGGCCCAAGGTCACCCAGCTGACTTGGTGCCTACAATGGGAATAGAGCCCAGAGTTTCTTTACTTTTAGTCTGATCCTTTAATCTCTACACCAAACAAATTTCCAAAATTTAATGAAACATCACTCTTTATAGATTATTTTTGTGTGTGTGTGTTCCAGGGGTGGGTTCTACTTACCTTTACTACTGGTTCGCAACGGGATCGCACGTATGTGTGAGCGAAGCAAGCGCACGTGCCTTGTGCATGCGCAGATCGCCGATGACAACATCCGGCAATGGGCGGGGCCGCCCACCAGTTTTACTACTGGTTCTTGTGAACCAGTCCAAACCAGGGCAACCCACCACTGGTGTGTTCCATTGAGTCAGTATTGACTTCTGCTTGGACAAGTCCTTTCAGTTTTATTTGCAAGACTGCAGAACTAGAGCTCATAATTCCAGCCTGGTGTCTTAACCATTGCACCAAACTGTCTCTCTTCCAATATGTTAGATAGAATAGAATAGAATTCTTTATTGGCCAAGTGTGATTGTACACACAAGGAATTTGTTTTTGGTGTATATTTGCTGTCAGTGTAGATGAGGAGAATAAAATACATTTATCAAGAATAAAAAAATATAACACTTAGTGATAGTCAAGGTTACTAATAAGCTATCAAATCTTACTAGGAAACAAATAAAAACAATATAATTAAAGGATACAAGCAACATGGTTATAGTAATAAGTGATAGATACTAGTAAGAAAGAGAAGAATAATAGTAATACAGCCTTAGTAAATTATTTGACAGTGTTGTGGGAATTAGTTGTTTAGCAGAGTGATGGCGTTCGGGAAAAAACTGTCCTTCTGTCTAGGTGTTTTGGTGTGCAGTGCCTTATAGCCTCTTTTTGAGGGTAGAAGTTGAAACAATTTATGTCCAGTATGTGAGGGGTCTGTAGATATTTTCACAGCCCTTTTTTTGACTCGTGCAGCATACAGGTCCTCAATGGAAGGCAGTTGGTAGCAATTGTTTTTTCTGCAGTTATAATTATCTGTTGAAGTCTGTGTTTGTCTTCTTTGGTTGCAGAGCCAAACCAGACAGTTATGGAGGTGCAGGTGACAGACTCAATAATTCCTCTGTAGAACTGTATCAGCAACTCTTTTTTTCTGAGTTTGCGCAGAAAGAACATTCTTTGTTGAGCTTTTTTGATGATGTTTTTGATGTTAGGTGTCCACAGAAGTCTTAAAGCTGCCAAGTCTGAAGACCTCTGGTATAGTCCTTTAGTTTCTTTTTACTTTTCACATTTCTTACAGATGCCCCAAAGGTGCTTTTTCAAGAGGCAACTGGACTTTCTGGTTTTTCTTTTCTTCAGCTCATACAGAAGCTTCTAGGATGAGATGTGAAACGTCTTCAAAGAAAAACCAGAAAGTCCAGTTGCCTCTTGAAAAAACACCTTTGGGACAACCATGACCTGGTTGACTGAGAATCTCCATAGACATTTCTTACAGCTGCACACTGAAAGCTGAAATAGAAGAGGCTTTCAAGTCAGCTTGCAGTAACAATATTTTCACAAGTGTGATAATTGCTCCATCTGGTGGTGTAAAGTAAGAAACACCAATGTTTCAGTATAGAACAGGGGTCTGCAACCTTAAACACTCAAAGAGCCATTTGGACCCGTTTCCCACAGAAAAGAAAACACCAGGAGCCACAAAACCCTTCCCATGCCTGACTATTTCTTGAGCGGCCACAAAACTAGCATATGTAGTTGAATTAAGTGTTCTGTTTTCTTCTGAAACTTTTCTTTTCTTGGATTTATCCATGGTTGGCCTACCGGGGGTTGAAAAACTCAATAAATGGCGTGCTGGCGGGTGTCGCACATTGGCGGTTGTGATCCATATTTTGAGTGACAGAGCCACAGCAGAGGGGTTAAAGAGCCACATGAGGCTCCAGAGCCGCATGTTGCTGACCCTTGGTATAGAGATTACAATTAGAATTGAGACTATATAGGCAGTTTTCGATAAAACAGAATTATGTTTTATAATTGATCTAGTGGTTAAGGCACCAGGCCTGAAAGCAAGAAATCTTGAGTTCTAGTCCTGCTTTAGCCATGGATGCCAGCTGGGTGACTTTGAGCCAGTCATTCTCTCTTAAACCAACTCACCTCACAGGGTTGTTATTGTGGGAAAAATAGGAGGAGGAAGGTATATTGGATATGCTCACCACCTGGAGTATTTGTAAAATTAATAAAGGTGGAATAGAAATAATCAAGTAAATGAAAATAATTTTTGCTTTCATCCGCACCTCGTTTTACTGTTTTGTTTTTGATATATGAGCATTAACAACAGTGACTGATATAGAAGGCTAAGGAGATGGTATTTCCAGCAATTCCTGATATTGATGATTAACTAACACAAGGAACCTTTCAATTTATGATCCCCTTGGTTGAAAGCAATTGTAAATCAGTAAGCACAATACAAAGGTCGTGCTTACATCACACCCACTGATTTCAGAAGACTAAGACGAGATCCAATTGAAAGTCTTTGTTTTCCTAAATGTAGCTACCTACAAAGTGACTGTGCCAATGATATTTTTAACCACAGAGTTGTGTGTAAACATTTCTATTTAGGTATATTCATAACTATGTTCCCCTCTGCATTTGTATCTATGTGATGGGGGGAAATGAAAAATTACATTATCTTTCCCTATCCCAATTCAGGTTGACAGTTTTTTTATCTTCTGACACAGAGCTTCTCCCTTTGTTACACTTCTAGACAACAGGTTTTTTTTTGAACCAGAGAATCATAGCCTGCAAGGAACCTCGGAAGTCTTCTATTCCCACTCTGTGCTTAAGACAGGAGTCTTAAGTCTTGCCCTTACTGTAAAAAAAAAAAAAATTCTCCTTACTTTTAGGTTGTACCTCTCTTTGAAAGGGGCACGGTGGCTCAGTGGCTAAGACGCTGAGCTTGTTGATTGAAAGGTCAGCAGTTCAGAGGTTCGAATCCCTAGTGCTGCGTAACGGGGTGAGCTCCTGTTACTTGTCCCAGCTTCTGCCAACCTAGCAGTTCAAAAGCATGTAAAAAACGCAAATAGAAAAATAGGGACCACCTTTGGTGGGAAGGTAACAGAGTTCCTTGTGCCTTTGGCATTTAGTCATGCCGGCCACATGATCATGGAGACATCTTCAGACAGCGCTGGCTCTTCGGCTTTGAAACGGAGATGAGCACTGCCCCCTAGAGTCGGGAACGATTAGCACATACGTGCAAAGGGAACCTTTACCTCTGAAAAGTTTCCACTCATTATTTCTTGTCCTGCTCTCTGGTGCCCTGGAGAATAAGTCAAATATGCATCACATCATACAATTCATATGAAATTCTCCTGTCCCAGCATCCACTTTGTCATCCTAAATTCATCACTGTGAATTCAGCTCCATGTCTCATCCCTTTCATTATTCATTAACCAGTTGTTCAATATAGTTTGTTTCTAATGAAAAAAAAGTCTTTTCTCCATATCGGAATGCAAATCTATGTAACAAAGGCAAAACCCGGCTAGGGCTACTGTCCTAAACTCATTCATTTGAAGCAAATTTATATTGCGTTTACTCAATGCCAGTGGTCTCCAACCAGTGTGGCTTGGTGGCCTGGAAGAGGAGGAAGAGGAGAACTTGGCCACATGAATGGTGGGCCAATACACACATGTACATGCAGCTCTTGCATGAGTGGTAGGCTGGTGTGCACATGAGCAAGTGCCTGCTGACCCACTGCACACAGAAGTCAAGCTGCATGCGTGTGCATGCACATGCTCCGGAGAGCCACTCGTGTGGCCCAATTCTGAATAGGTCATGAACTGGGATTTGGGAACCCCTGCTCTATGCTATTGATTTCTGAGGCACCACCATCTAGCATGCTGGATATGTCTCATCACAAAACTTTCAGTAGCAGCTTACCACTGAAGCTTACCAACTTACAGAGCGTAGTAATAATTGGCAAATATTGACAGCAAGTTGGATTTAATGTGCATACTAACCCTATGAGTTAAAAGAATTTCAAAGCACATAGTTTTTTTTGGTTTTATTTCAAATTCCATTAAAAAATGCCAGCATATCCAGCCCATTCCTTGATTACAAAACTAGTATTTAAACAGCAAAGTTGTTATATAAAACGAAAGCTAAGAACCCTGAAATCATTACTACATTTTGAAATCAAGCAAGTTGCATTCCCATACCAGATGAGAAAAATATGGCAATAATTGTAAGTCCATTGTGGACTACTGAAGTGGCTTAAATTCCCTATAACACAGGATCATATACAACAGCCATAGACAAAACTATGGATTTAAAAAGGAAAGAGAAAATGTAAAATAAGCAGACATCTAATTCCCTTTACATGTATGCCTTATTCATTCCCAAAACGTAAACATATGTATTTATACTTTCTTCTCATATTATTCAACAGACGTATGTACAAGAATAGCCAACTCAAATACTGTATGTTATGGTCATTATTTAGATTAAGCTTTTACAAAGTGTATGAAACAAAAAAATATATCCATGGTACAGAAGTATCAAAGAGACCTCTAGGTTGAATTCTCTTCTTCTCTTAAGACCAATAAGACCATTCTACATTGGATACATTTTTTTAAATTGAACCAGTCTCCAGTGGCTTACCATGTTTTCCTGAAAATAAGGGAAGCCATTATTTTTCATGATTTTCAGGATGCTTGTAATATAAGCCCTACCCCCAAAATAAGCCCCAGTTAAGATCATCAGCCAGATGGACGCATTTAGTACCGGGTTTCCCTGAAAATAAGACCCAACTGGAAGTAAAAATTAATATAAGACCGGGTGTTATTTTAGGGGAAACACAATTATCTCCTATTGCTCAACACAAGAACCCATTTCACATGCAAGGAAAGAAAAAAGTGATTTCCATATCTTACAAGCGCATTCCACAGGCTGACTCTTATCTAATAAAACCATACTTCCCAAGAGGGAGGGATCAGCAGACTTGAAGAAAACCCTTGGGATTCATCTTTAGGGAATCCCCCTTTTACAAAACAGACTGGGCCTGTCCAATGGGGTGTGGAATCCCAACAGACTATTAGGCAGAAAAGGCAACCTAGAGTGCAGAACCTTTTTTTAAAAAAAAAAAAAGTAAACATTTATTTATTTATTTAAATGGCAGAAATCTTGAGATTGACAAATGTTAATTTTTTTGATGTTATGATTGTGTGATATCTGGCATCTGGGGAAAAACACACACTGGATGGAATTCTGCCTTCAGAAATGTATTACCTTGTTAAAATACAATATCTGAACCAACCACACAGATAAACTAATTCATCTTGAAAAAGATATATAAATATAAGAAATAAAACCCTGTTTCACTCAGTTTCTATTGGTAAAGTATTTATAAAAATCTATAGAGCTTATATTTAAAAAAAAAATGAAATGAGATCCATTCTTTTAAAAAATAGGAATGCTCCCTATGTATACAATGAATAACACACCAGTTAAAATGGTAGTTTTAAGGCTGCATCCTGACTGTACTAACTGAAGAATAAACCCCACTAAACTCAGTGGGAACTGATTGTGAATACAGCAATCTTTAAAAGTACATTTCTGAAGTCAATTTATATATTCAAATTAGGTTCATGGTGCAGGCCAGTAGAATTTGCTGCATAATGAATACTGAACTAACTTCAATTGGACTATCAACCAGACTAAAAATATATTGATTTTGGAGTTATACAGAAATTTATATTGTTCTTTCGATAAACAATATTCTTTTCTAGCTGCATAAGCTTGGGAGTTTCTTGCAGGAACTCTTTAATAGAGCTATCTTATGAGTAACTTCTCAAAAATAAATCTTGCATTACACAGTGAGGAATTGCACCTAGTATATGGTTTTAAGGTTGCATCCTTGTGGATTGTTAAAAAGCATTGTTAGGAAAGTGAAACAACACATTCAAGCTCTTGAGAAGGCAATCAATCAATCAATCCTATCAGTGAAGTGAGAGATGGAAATCCACCTATGAGCGTGTATATTGGACAGAGCTATATTTTTTTTTGACCGTTGAGGACTTGCTTAAGGTTGAACCTGTAGGAAGCATGTCCTGGGGGCTACTTTGGTTAAAGAATGAGTCAGAAATTAAAATCTGTTCCTGCCTCTCATTGTTAGGAAAAATGTCTGCTTCAATTGTGGCTCGCCTAACAGGAGTTGGTGTCACTACTCTCTCTGTTATTACTATATTCTGTCCTTCTGACAGGTTGGGGATGCTTACAGAAGCCTTTAAGTCAGAACTAGGCACTAGGACTCGCTCCCTTTCCCTCACAACAACATATTTTGAATCTGGGAGGTCTGGGAAGACACCAGCTGGCATTTCTAACATGTCCTGCAAGTTAGAAGCAGGTGCAAGGACCCTTTCTGTCACTACCACATTCTCCTTAAACTGAGGGTCACGGATGACTGTTGATGGTAATGTCCCATATGATGTTTCTGTCACTACAACATTGCTGGTGCTGCTGCTAATCAAGGGGTCTGGGATTCGCTTCACTGGCTGCAGGTTAGACTTAGTTGTAACAGTTGACTCAGTTATTGTTTTCTCAGTCATCGTTTCTGAACCAAAGCCTTTCACAGGTTCAGACAGGTTGTAGACAGCCCCTGACGAATAAGTATGTTCGGCATTCACTGCGTTCTGCTGTTGGGAGGACTGCAAACTGGATACATTCATTGCAGGAGCAGTTGTATCTTTCTGGGTATGAGAGCTGAACTGCTCTGCTTTTAGGCCTGTGTGGTTGCCCATGCAGATCTCAGCCAGAGTCTTAAATTTGTCTCCCAAGTCATCCAAGAAATGTTCATCAAAGTCACCGTCAATAAAGCTACAGCAGCCAACTGAACCATGAGGGGAATCGTGCTCTTCCTCCTGGGAGTAAATGAGTAGGCAATCTTTGGCAAGATGCACTTCATCCTCATCAGCAAAAGCATCAGCTTTCTAAAATGTGGAAGAAAAAAAATAGTAATGAGCACTCACATTTCAGAAGTTACCATTTTTTAACCTAAAGTGTTTAGATCAGATTAGATTAGAGTTACATAATATTTTCATATTACAGAGCTGTTAACGTTCATATGCTGAACACTTCAACCCAGAGGTATTCTATGTGGATAGAAAGAAAAAGGTTCCCCACATTCATATTTTGGCAGCAGAAATCCAGAACAGTAGTTTTAAAAAGATTAGCTTTAGCCCCTTGCATAATTACCTCATAAGCTTTCCCTCTTTTTTCCCTCAAGCAATTTCCTTAGATGGATTTCCTTAGAAATTTTCTTAAATTTCCTTTAAAATTGGTTTTAAATTGTTTGCGGTTTTAATTTGTCTGGGCCAAAACTATTTAATTTGATTTTAATTCTACTTTTAAATTTTGTATGTATGTATTTTATTGTTTGGCTGTGCATCGCCCTGAGTCCTTCGGGAGTAGGGCGGTATAGAAATCAAATAAATAAATAAAATAAATAATAATGTGTGATTTTGTGATAATCCACAGTAATATTTTTTTATTGTGTATATTATAGTATTGTTTTCATTAGTAATCCAGAGACTATTGGTAAATATATATCATGTATATATTTTCTTCTTCTTCCTTCTTGTTCTCAGTTTGTATTTTTTAAAAATTGGCTTTTAAAGATTGTTTGAAATAAGGCAATATGGGAGAAAAAATGGACAACTGGTATATCTTTAGGAGAAATATTGACAGTTGCCATTGCAACTAAAGTTACTGTTATAAAAAAAGAAATGAATCAAAGGGAATGGAGACATGATTTGTATATCGGGATTTGTATATTTGTGTATATCAGTATTTGTCTGATATAGTTATGCTGATTGCTCTCTGGAAAGATGAAGAACTGTAACTCTTTTGAAAATCCATGAAAGGACCCTCCAGCATATGCAGCAAAATAGTTAAACTACAAAGGGGAAAGAAATGCCCCTTCCAGCCCTAATTATCCTCCTGGTCCTCACTTCCTCAAAAGCATGAAAAGCCAGCCTGAATGTTTCAAACCCATTCCTCACCCTGCCCCACCCTCTCCCAATCTTCCCAAACAGACTGATTTCTTAATGAAGCCAGCTGGCCTCCCCAAGGAATTGGCTTACAGTTCCCCAAATGGAAAGAAGACGCCTCTCCCTGCAACAATACATACTCAAAATCTATAACGATAAATTCAACAAGATTAATAACACTCGTGTGACTATATATCATCAAAGGATAGAAAGTGTTGATCAATAGAGTGAATTCAGAAAGTAGACTCTTACCTCATTGAAGTAACCCCGTAAGAATTCTTCATTCATGATCATGCCAGTATCCATGGCTAAAGATCTGCCAGCTCCTAGCCGCATTGTCCCACCTGCTGTCAAGCCTGCCCCTGCGGCTGAGGCACCTGCAAATTCTGCCCCAGAAAGAAGAGCTTCTCGGTCTTCTCTCTGCCATCTCGTGATTGTGTTGCTGCTCATGTTCTGCTCCTTGATTGTAGAGGAGAAGCCGTTCCCTACTGCTGCTCCTGCTGCTGCTCCTATGACTGCTGCTCCACTGCTCACATGTTTTTCTGATCCAGCGGAAGTAAGGAGGTTCAGCATTGCCTAACATCAAAGGCGACAGTTAAAAAGCAAAGATGGGCATCGAAGGAGCAGCACTGAAATCATGACAAGAATAGCTTTGCTGGATTGCTAGGTGAATTTGCTATTGGCATGGTTTGGTACTTGTTACTCAGAGAAAAAGGAAAGGTTTATAATACACCAGCAGGAAATCCAGGGTTCTAAACTGGATTTAAATAATCCATTAAATAATTCTAAATTATTGTATTACTAATATGTAGTAGGACTGTAAGGGACGCGATGGCTCAGTGGCTAAGATGCTGAGCTTCTCGATCAAAAGGTCGGCAGTTCAGCGGTTCGAATCCCTAGTGCCATGTAATGGGGTGAGTTACTTGTCCCAGCTTCTGCCAACCTACAAGTTCGAAAGCACGTAAAAAAAATGCAAGTAGAAAAATAGGGACCACCTTTGGTGGGAAGGTAACAGCGTTCCGTGCGCCTTTGGCATTTAGTCATGCTGTCCACATGACCACTGAGATGTCTTCTGACACGCTGGCTCTTTGGCTTTGAAATGGACATGAGCACTGCCCCCTAGAGTCAGGAATGACTAGCACATAGTGCGAGGGGAACCTTTTTGTTTTTAGTAGGACTGTATTACCATTATCCTTCACATCTTTCCTGCAGTATTACCTAATCCTGCTGATATCTTATCACTATCACTTTATTGGTTGTATTTTGTGATTTGATTGTTATCTCATGATTTATCATTTTGTTGCTTGTATGTATACTGAGAGTTTATGCGCTGGAGACAAATTCCTTGTGTATCCAATCACACTTGGGCAATAAAAAATACTCTATATTGTGTGTTCCTCTCAAGCCTCTTCTAAAACCACGTTTGGAGAATCATGATTGATAAGAATGTCCTATGTTTCAGATCAACATATAAGCAGTATGTGAGAAAGTGATTCTTTCTTATATGTTGATCTGAAACATAGGACATTCTTATCAATCATGATTCGGCAGTAAGGTTGATTTGACTTGAGTTCCCAGTAAGTATGAGTATGGTTGCAATCTAAATCTAGTGATTTAAATGGAACTTGGTCAACATATTTATGGCTGCAGGCCTGGGAAATTCACATTGCTCTAACTCAGTAGGTTTTTTAATCTTGGCAACCTTAAGATGCTGGCTGAGGAATTCTGGGAGTTGAAGTCCACACATCTTAAAGATGCTGACTTTGAAAAACACTGCCCTAGGTGTATTAATCCTTTTAATTTCCTCTTCCCATTCCCAACGAATGGGAAACTGAAGTAAGGGAAAGAAAAGGCAAAATACAATATACCTTATCTTCAGGTGCTGCTCCTTCACTGTTCCAGTTGCGCAACATTTCTTCACTGTTGTCAGGTATAGCTACAAATCCTTTTCCACCGCCTGATCCAAAGCCTGACCCAAAGCCACAGGCCAGCAGTAAGAGAGGCACGACTGCAAAGGAACACAGTGCAACAGTGAGCAACAAAGATCAAATGCTAGGGGAAAAAATATCGAGTGCATCTGCATCTGCAATCTGATCCATCTCAAACATTTCACAATCAGAACACAATTTATTAAAACTTTCCCGGAGAGATGAGTCACTTACACAATGATAAACAGGCAGCTTTTCCGCTCAGCCCTGATCTTTCTTTTCTACCAACTCAACAGTTTTTAACATTCCAATGAGAACAGAGCATCAAGCGCTATCATCAGAAAGAAAGAAACTTCTATTTTTGTTTAATCTTGCTTGTTTTTAAGTGAGTTTTATATATTCAGGTTTGCACACATTCCAGAAGCGTAAGATATAGAATGTGTTGCTAGGTGTAAAAACAAGCACTTAAAAAACAAGCCCTAACATTTTGAAAAAGTAAGTAAATATATTTATATTTACTAGTACCAAGGTTAGGTCAGGCCTGAGTGTGTATATACATGTATACTTAAACACATTCTGCTCTAACTTGACCTATGGAAGTCTGGAAGCTTCTTAGCTGCCAGTATGGTTTTCTTAAGAAGAAAGCCATGGAGAATTTGAGCAACTATCAAAGTGAAAGCAGAATACCAGCTCTTAAACAGACAGGAAGAACAAGAAAGAAAAAAAAACACCCACCACCCTAACATTTTTATGCCCTTTTCAATGTTTCATTTCCACATTATATGCAACACATAAAAACTGAATTTCTTAAAATGTATTTATTTCAGTAGAAATTAATTATGGTTGGACAATGTCTACAGTCTTTTTTTTTGAAATGAAGTGAAAGTTTTGCAAGCTCTCATATGAAAAAGCCTTTGTGTCAAAGTTCTGCTTAGTGCCAACCATACCTCTAGACCAGGGGTGTCCAATCTCGGCAACTTATGGGCTTTAACTCTGAGAATTCCCGAGCCAGCATGGTGAATTCTAGGCGTTGAAGTCCCCAAGTCTTAAAGTTGTCAAAGTTGGACAGCCTTGCTCTCAACAGTAGAGCAGGTTGGACACCCTGTTCTAGACATTATGAAATAACCTTAAACGCTTACGGAGTAGCAGCAAAAATGCCAAGATCATCAGCGCAACTGCAGCAGGTCCCAGAAAAACGGAGGAGCCGACAATTCTATCCTGGCAACCAAAACCACCCTTGCAATCACAAACATCCACCTCCAGTACTTGTTGGTCAGGACAGCTGAAACCTTGGTTATCTTTTATTACAAGAGGAATTTTGTATTTGCCAGGTGTCACATCCTGGAGTATAAGCTGAGCTCTGGGCCCTTTGTAGGGAAGAAGAAAAACAACAACAACAACGTTCAGCAAAGAAAGGAATGAAATCAGAAGTCTTGCTACTTTTAGGGTTACCATTCTGACAGTTAAAGCAGTCTTCCCCAACCTTGCAAGACGTTAACTCCCAGGATTCCTGGTCATTGGTAGGAATTCTGGGAGCTGATCTAAAGCACATCCAAATTAGTAGAGGCTACTTTAAAGAAAGCATTCTTATTAGGAGACAACTATATATTTCTAGAGTCTGTAACTATTTGACAATGTTTTGGAAAAGTGCACATTCTGAACAAAGCAACAATTCTCTAGGACATTGATACATTATTTTGTAATCCCACTGCCACAATATATTTATGTTGGTCCAATCTATTCAAGGCAATTCAGTTAATCATGAGGAGAAAAGATTTCCTAACTGTGGAGCTTGAAGGTTTTGGGCTGTCCTTCTAAGCCTAGGTAAAGGTAAAGGTTCCCCTCGCACATATGTTCCCGACTCTAGGGGGTGGTGCTCATCTCCATTTCAAAGCCAAAGAGCCAGTGCTGTCTGAAGATATCTCCATGGTCATGTGGCTGGCATGACTAAATGTCAAAGGCACATGGAACACTGTTACCTTCCCACCACAGGTGGTCCCTATTTTTCTACTTGCATTTTTTATGTGCTTTCAAACTGTTAGGTTGGCAGAAGCTGGGACAAGTAACAGGAGCTCACCCCATTATGCGGCACGAGGAATTCGAACTGCTGAACTTTTGATCAACAAGCTCAGCGTCTTAACCACTGAGCCACCATGTCCCTTATGAGCCACCATGTCCCTTCTAAGCTTACTTCCACTTTATTTTGCAATTGGTGTTAAACATGTTGCCCATGTATATACCAGAAACAATCTCTCCACTTGTTTGCAATTGAATCTTGTCTAATCTACAATGAAACAGCAACCATTAATATTTCTCCCTTGACTTTTGACTGCCAATTCTTGAAACCAAGGATTGAAGCAGAAACCAAGCCACAAACTCTGCTCTCATAAAATCTGTAGCTTCAGAGCTATACCAATCTCTATAAAATGTGGCATGACTCATACTTACCATCTATCTGGCCAATTCTCCATTTGTCTGACATTCTTTCAGGTTCATCAATGATCATGAAAGTGAAAGGACCACCATTTGGATGTCTATCTCGATCCTCAACAGTGATATTAATATACTTTGTATCGGTACAGACAGTTGTTTTTTGAGTCACAAGAACTGGGCAGTAATCATTCTTGTCTTCAATCTGAATAACAATGGTACCCGTAGCTGTTTTTGGAGGGTAGTCTGCAAAGCACAGAAGGCATATCCATTTTTATACAAACTGCTGATTTATTGGAAACTTGTTTCCTTCTTTAAGCATGTACAAGATTTTAAATGTGAATCCAGTGGCTGAATTATGAGAAGTTTACAATTTGCTAGTTTGCATAGTCAAATTGAATGTAAAATATAATTCATACCCATGAAAATTTTGGAGGGCACTGCTATAGAGGTAGTCTTTGACCTATGACTGTAATGGAGTGCAAATGGTGACACCCGTTAAGTGAGACAAGCATTCCTTAATGGACTTTGCTTAACATTCATAAGGGTGAAGCAGGGGTGCTTCAGCCACTGTAGGTTTGAAACAGGGTTGTATGTAGCTTTTGGGGGGAGGGGGTTGTTGTAACCTCAAATGGCCGTTAAGTGACTGATCATATCTCAAGGATTACCTGCAGTGTTACGTCACTCTTGGAGTCTCAGTCGTTAATCAGACAATTATTCAAAAACCCAGAGCCACAGATTGGATTGAGGTCAGTGTTAGATTTATATGTCTTACCGAACAGTATAATGCACAAGCTTTACTACAGCCTCTGCTCCTGCATTCACTCAGTACTAAGAATGCACCAGATATTCCACATAACATAAAAAGTGTATGACTGCATTATGGATTTATTCAAAGGGAAAAGTATCTTGGTGTTCTAATAAGCAGAATATTGTGATTCTGATTGTGCATGATGTGAAAAACCAGCCTGCTGTGGTCCTCATGGAACGGATTAACCTGGTAATGCACTGGCAGATGACCAGTAAATTCCAAATCTGCCTTGGCTATAAAATAGTAGTTATTCTGCTAGCATCCTTGCCTCTTTTGTGAACCCTGGATGGCTACCAGTGGGCCGCAATTTTAAAAAAATGGAGTGAGATGCTGCATAGATGGAGAATGGATTTATACTTTTCTCAATCATCTTCTGCATCTATTTAGAAATCTGCATATTCACCAAGAATGGAAAGAAAGAAATCTCATAAAAGAAATGGAAAGCTTGAAGAAATTAGACATTGAAAATCACTCTAGGCATTGATTTCTCTGCAGGTAGCTGGACAAGAAAATTGCCCTACATTAAATATTTCTCCTGGTTTTGAGTCTACGGTAACCAGGTTAAAGTAAATTACTCAAAACTAATTAGTAGTTTTTCTGGGTTACCTAATCTTGATGCAGAAATGATCAGATTTCTGGTTTAGCATGACAAGATGTTTAGATGTTGCATAATCTTATTCCTATTTGTTCATCTAAACAGGATCCTAGATCATTAGTTTAGTTGTGGTTTGATTAAATTAAGACCAACACCAATTTCTTCAAAACAGGAATATTGGGTTTTTTCATGTTTTCTCTATTTCACTTGCTGGCATTTTGCCAAAGCTTTTTGAACCCCCCCCTCCTAAAAATAAATTTAAAAAAATTAAAAAGAGAGAGAAAGAGTAAAGTGGCCTAATATAGATCATTAAAAAGTCTCCTACTTGCTTTCTAACTATTGCAGGTAGTTTTGGTGGGTTCTGGAATTTAATAAAAATGAACTGATGTGAATTTGGCATGACATGTTGATAATTTTCAAGAAAGAATAGAAAAATGTAGTTAAATTATTTATTGTGTATTCCACCACATCTTGCTAATTAAGGACCATTATAAAGTACAACAAAAATATTCACTACATACCAGTACTTATGGCCAAAATTGTTGCAGTGTAAGTACCATTGATGACATAGGGTGATTCATAGTCTAGGACTTTACGTAGTCTGATTTCAGCTGTTTTAGCATTTATTATCAGCCAATTTGCAACATCACTTCCTTTGGCATACCTGTGTCAATTTTAAATATATGTGAAAATAAGCATACAAATCTGAGATTAAGTTTACATATGGAAATTATATAATTCTTAAGAGACATACAAATGTTTTATACAGCTACATACTATATTTCTATTCATAGTTAATAAATAACAGTCAAATAATTGTTAATAAATAACAGTCACATTTTAATACATTTATTCTTGGTGTATTTCTGGTTGTGCCATGTTCAAATCTCTAGCCAATCCACATAGCAAGGACATCTTGATGGTAAAACCAATCAGAAGTTGGTCCAATAAATAATTTCTGAATTGTTCTTTTGCACTAATTCTGGTTTGTTCAACAATGAGCAAAACCATGCTTTAAGATGACACATCTTAATATTAAGTGAACATTAACTTTTTCTGTATTTATTTATCAATCACATTTATATGGCTGCCCATTTCACAAGAAGCAACTGTGAAAGGCCATATAAATATGTATATACCTATATCATATTGGTAGTGTATGTTTATTATCCAAAACTGTCACTGCAAAGACATTTAAAACAAAAGCCACTGGGAAGCATAAGGCATAAATTGCATCTCTCTTTTTAGCATAAATGAAATGATGAGCAATATCGGAACATAATAGTATTGAAGCTGTGTGTTTGGCATATTGAAAGCACATAGGAATAGAATTTTATCCTTCTACAATAATTCTTGACTGTTGTGAGCTGCCCAGTCATTGGAAGTTGAGAGGCCTGTAAATTTACTAATAAACAAACAAAACAAACAAACAAAAAGTCTTACGTGATGCGTTCTGCTATTTTTTGAGTGTCTTCATCATAAGCTTGAAAGCTTCCAATAATCTGGTTTATTTTCATTGTTTTACTTGTCGTAATCACTAATGTGTGGGGCTTAAATACAGGGCCTTCCCTCACATTTTCCACATTAATTTTGACAGAAATTGGTTTTACTTGGGAAACTTGATTAATAATTGATTTGTGATATGCTGCTTTGTTAGAAACTACTATCTTCAGGTCCATTGTCCGCAATTCTTCGTAATTTACTTCCTGTAGAGAGAATGAAAAAAATCGTAATTTAAAATGTAATTTCCATTTACCCACTTGCATAACCTTCTGGACTCTTGGTGGAAGTTTACTATTGCAACTTCAATATTATTTGCTATGAAATACCCTTGAAAATCCATTCAGAGTCAAGAGTCCTGTCAATAAAAAAAGAGCAGAAAAGACTCTTTTGAGTTTTCATGTCACTGTATCAAATGGAGACTGAGACACAGAAGAGAACAAAGCACATCTAGATCCTATGTTAAAAAACAGATACATCAAGCAATTGAGTTAGGAACCTCTATTCACCCTTATTCTTGGGCATACGAAAACAGGGGATGTCTCAACCTCTTGTTAACTGACTCAGCTTGACAATGTTATAAAAAAACTGATGTTATGTTATCCCAGAGTTTTAAAGTAAAACAAGGATTGTAATGTAATTTGTGGAACAGAAAATGAACTGTTTAAATTATTATGAAGTATGAGAATCTGAACTAATGGATGCTCTTTGTGGGTATGTGTTGTAGGTGGGCATGCAGAATACAACTGTTTTATGTGAAAAACATCCTATCATACTATAAAATCTCATCATAATGGAAACAGGGCAGAGATGTGGTTACAATGAGATTATAGCAATCTGTGCAGAATACTCATACAGAACACATCAGCTTGTCATTGTGCTGTATGCTGTCATTGTTCTTTTCTTTTGCTAGATACCCTTACTGGATTGAGGTCAATGTGGCAAGCATACTGCCTCTCCCCATCCACTAACCTTAATCAGAGTAAGAATTCCTTGATTGGTTTGTGAATCTGTTTCTATACGGAAGTGGCCTCCTTCATTGCCGGACACAATCATAAAGTTTGCCAGCCAGTTATCAGTAAATTGTTCATCGCTGTCAAAGACGTCCAGGCGCATGATTTCCACATTAGCTATATTTTCCTTTACGCTGCCTTCATACTGTAAATAAACAAGCCTTTTATTATAATACATCTTTCTGATCATAATTGAAGAAACCCGCCCAAATAATAGCAAGCACATTTTTTACTCACCACAGTCTTGTTAAGTTTAGGGATGTTGTCATTAACATCCAGAATCTTGATCTGTAGAGTAGTCACTTGACCATTCCCTTGTTCGTTTCCATCACGGTCTTTTGCTTCCACAACCAAGGAATAACTATTATGTAGCTGCAGAACAGTCAAATAGCATGAAAGTTAGGATATACAAAAACAGTGTATACAAGGTTGAATGCCACTCCCTACAGTTGAAAAAGAATTGTGCCCCCAACCTAGGGAACCTTAAAGAGTGAGGTTGCTGAATTACAACTACCAGTATCTGTAACTTCTGGCCACATTTGGAGGCCACAAATTTCTCACTCTTTTTCTTTTTCTTTTAAAGCTCATGGTGGGAAATGCAGACATTTAACACCTCCTTCTTGCTGCCAGAACACACAGAGAAAATCATGGTGCCTGACTGTGGAGTAATCAAAGTATTATGAACCACTGTAGTGAAAAGCAGAAGACTAGAAAGCAGGAGGTCAAAGAAACAAAGTCGCAAAGGTGTAAGCCATTGATTCATTGTGGTCATCCTCAAAAGATAAAGATATTTTCTTTTTCTAACCCTCTGAAATAAAAAAAAGGCTCAAAAAAAAAAAAGAATATTATGAGAGAGAGAGAAAATACCTCTCTGTCAAGCTGGAATGTTGCTGTCCGAACTTCACCTGTTGCTTTGTTAATGACAAATGCATTAGGATCATTAGGTTCTTGGGAAACAATCTTAAAAGCAATTTGGGAGTTGAGTGAATTGGGCTCATCTGCGTCAGTTGCAGTTATCTTCAGCACAAGAGTACCTAAAAAGAGCAAGCATTTTACAAGGGTATATCAAATAGCAACAACCAAGAGTGCACATTTTCTTCCTGACCCCTATAACTGTCCTGCTTTTAAAAAAAATGGTCATAGGTCACTTTTTCAGTGCTGTTGTAACTTTGAATGGTCACTGAATGGACTATTGTAACAGTGGTGGGTTCTAACCGGTGTTACCACAGGTTTGCTTCGCGCAAGCACATTGGATTTCATTAAAGCTGAGGCATGGCAATCCGCTCTGCCGCGCCTTACAGCTGGGCTAAAAATGAAGGAATAAAGGTAGGTATAGCGCGGGGGCAGGGGGGAGGGCCCAGCTGACAGTCGGAGAGAACCGGTTCGCTCTCATATCAAGATTTTCGCTACCGGTAGCAACCTACCACTGTATTGTAAGTTGAGGACTACCTGTATTGGTGTGATGCATGTCACTGCAAGTTCCTATATGAAAAGCAGATTATATAAACCCAAACAAATATTCAGTGGCAGAATAGGCACACTAGATACATGGAAAGGGAAAGTATATTTATGAAATCCAAATAATAGAGGTGGTCCTGCTAAAAGCATCACTGTAAAAATTTATCCTAAGCAGCAATTTACCTCAGACGCTTAGGCACCCAAATACACTACAAGATTTTGCCTTTTTAATTACTACATAGGAAGGAGAACAAGGTAGTATGTAGTCTGTACTCCATACTATTTTGAAATTATCGTAAAATTAAAACCAAGATTTTTTGGTTCCTAGACCTTATATTTTGGCTGTCACTAAAACACGGATTCTCAACTATTTAATTATGTTTTCTAATATCCCACCCCAACAATACTATAAAATAAAAGTCTGTGATATTTCTACTATATTGCAATACTATAATCAATGAAATACTTATTTCTGACAAGGGCACAGAGGCAATAGAAGGGAAGGAATGGATTCAAAATAATTGTATAGGGGAAAGAATATGAATGCGGAGTCAGAATGAAAATGTACATAAAAGTCTAGAACGTACCCACTTCACATAATTCTTCAACAGAACCACTGAAACTTGTTTGTGAAAACACTGGGCTATTGTCATTAACATCCAGAACTTTAATCCGCAGATCTAGTGGCCTTTCCAGATTTTCACCTCTTTGATTCAGGGCATAGCCTCTCAGCTGAAAGAATATTAACGAGAAGTCCACGATTAATTTCATTCAATTCATTCAATTAACAGAAAAATAGAAATAATTATCACTGAATTATACTGTTCACTCTTTTTTTCGTTAGCACATTAGAAAAATAAATGTCTATAAACACAAAAATCAAGAGCTGATAACTGATAGGAATCTATCACTTTCATCTGCTTACATGGAACACTGGTGTTTGTTCCCGATCGACTATTCCAGTTACGTTCAATTCTCCAGTTTTCCCATTAATCACGAACAAATGATATGGTGGTTCTGTGACTCCTTGGCCAGAAATGGTGTAAGTAATAATTACTCCTGATTCAACATCTTTGTCAGACCGAATCTATATGGAATAGGAGAAAAGAAAAAATATTTATTGTTTGTCTCTGCAACTTAAAACAAATACGTTTTAATCTTTAAAAAAGATAAATATTTATGTTATTTTAGTTTTCTTAATAATTCATTATAAATATATATTATATATTTAAATATTATATTATATTATAAATATATATTTATAATTATACATAATTAATCTTAATAAAAATGGGCAAAACTTTTTATTCTGGGAATGTAACAGTCTGAGAAACTCTAGAAAAACTCTGCTTTTCCTCTGGACCATTCCAATCTATCTACTTCAAGGTTTGTCCAGCAATTTCCTGAATGTAAATCTTCTGGAAGAAGTGGCTTGTGTGTTGGTCTAGGTGTGGCCTACTTAATTACCAAATCAATGAATTATACAAATATCAAAAATGATTTATTTCCATACCCAAGCCAAGTGTTTGTATGAAACAGCCTTTATAAACTTAAAGTAGACAATACTTTAAGGGGTAGGCAGAAATTTAAAACCATATTAAATAGATCTAACCAGCAAACAAAAGTCCCAGCTCATCTTCCAACAGATGGATCATTATATGTATGTAGAAAAGGCTGCACACAAAACTAAATGAGGAATGGAAAGAATCTCATGGAACCTCCTTCGTGCAAAACAAATGAAATGAAATAGTATAAATTGGTCTATGTGCTGACGTTCTCTTGTGATCAAATCCAGGATCTAGCTAATAATTAAATGAAATAAATAATCTAGCTAAATAATTACATTTCTGATTCTCATAGGGATAGGCAAAATTCTTTTTAGTTAATCCTCGATTTTGTCAGGTGGGGGAGAAAAAGGCAAATATATTGAATCCCTTTAAGAAGATTACTGTATTATAATTTAGCTATACTAAATAATAATTTTGATTTTTCCCACTAATGAACCAGAATTGTACAACTGATATTATATGGTCATTTTACTCAATCTGACACCTTCTATGCTTGATAGGATTGCAACTCTAGTCCAAGTTGAGGAAAGCTATTAAGGACAAAAAGAAAGACTTGTTTCCAAGCCTGACTTACCTTAGCAATTGGGTTCTTCTGGGAATTGTCACGTTCTTCCCAGATCGTGGAAGGTGGGACAATCCATTCTCGCTTTTGCCTGATTAGGCTCTTCTGATGGAATACTTGCTCATGCCTTCCACCAAGAATCTGTGAGAAAATTCAGTTTTATTTGCAACACTTTCTTATTGCCGTATTGTCAAACCAAAATCGGGAAGCCTGTCATTTTAAATGCACCTTATTTTTCATATAAATACCCTAGAGGAATTCGTAACAGAAAATACATGGCATGCTTCAATATAAGCAACAACACAATATTTGCATAATAAGGACTGTCATTATTTCTAATACAATATGTATGCTCTGAAAAACCATAAGCACGTATAGGAAGGAAAAATCCTTGTTGATCCTATGGCACTGTTTATCTTTCAACAAGGAAATTGTAAAAAAATATTGTTTTAATCTATGGTTTCTGCAACATTTTCATTATTTGCTGTATATCACAAAAGTACTTTTTCAAGAAGCAACTGGACTTTTTGCTTTTCTTTGAAGATGTTTGGTTCTTATCCAAGAAGCTTCTTCAGCTCTGACTGAATGATGGGGAATGGAAGGATTTATACTCCTTACACACAGCTGGTGTAAGGAGTATAAATCCTTCCATTCCCCACCATTCAGTCAGAGCCGAAGAAGCTTCTTGGATAAAAAGTGAAACGTTTTCAAAGAAAAACTAGAAAGTCCAATTGCCTCTTCTAAAAGCACATCTCCTGGATGACAGAATCTCCATATACATTCTATATATCATATATACACTTAACAACCGTTGGAAATAAATTACTTAGAACATTTTGCCTAAATCTTTAAAAACCTTCTTAGTAATATACATAAACATACACAGAAAATCCCTTAAAATTGATAATCTCTTACCTCCAAATGAAGTCCATTTCCAAAGATTACATAACTCTGCAATAAACAGATACAGCAATTAAAAATATAACTAGCTTCCTAATATATACCACTAAGTAAATTAAAACACTATGCAATATTTTGGCATCAGTGAAATTCAGTTAAAATAGTCCACATTACTCCACCCAGACAAAATTAAGCATATTTAAACTATTTTTTAAATAATGGATGCATCTTTAAAACCAAATCAGCGTTAGGTTTTCACATTTAATATGGTCAGAAAATGGAAGTAAACTATGGAATTTCATAGATGTGAATACAAACGAAACGTGAAAACAGTTAAATCAACATTAATGGATCAATGTTGTTAGATTTGCATTTTAGGTAAGTGCTAACAGGACAGAGGAAGGAAATACAAAAATGCCCCTTGACTATTGAAATAAACCTTGAAATTGATTAATTACATTTTAGTACCTAAGATTATGTAACCACCTGTATTGTTTAAATAATGGCTTACCACGTGTAGTCAAACACAATTAACAATTGTGTCAAACACAATTAAGATATCATTAACAAGATGATCTAGAAATGTCAGTTTGGTATACATTCAGCACACCTTTAAAAAACTGATTTGGCTTAATCTGCTTTTTAGTTAAGATCTCTTTTATTTTAAAAAAATACTGCGGTTTTCTCATTCTAATATGACCACCTTATGTAGACTTAGTATTTCATATATTGGCAAACAAGAATGCATTTGGAGTTTCAACTTGAAAAACCGCATGCTTTTATAAATTGTGAATAGAGCGCAGCATTGTAAAATTGGAAAATTGCCAGCCATTAATATGGAGTATAATTATTGTAATGTAAATTACTGTCTTTCAAATCTTGGGAAATTCTCAAAAATGTTTCTAGTCTAGGGAAGGTTTCTATTTTAGGGTGGGTTTCTTTGGTTTTAGTGATAAATGCATTTTCTTTTCCCATGTCAAAGCCTGTCATACCCTGATATGATTCATGTCTCTGTCAGAAGGATGCAGGTATAAACCAAAATTTCCTCAAGAAACTTTGGAAGTGCTCTGTATGTGTGACACAGTTGTTATACCTAAATAGAACATTATAGACTCCTTTATAATCTCTCAGATATTGAAACACATTAACTAGACTTGGGATCTAAATCTATAGCTCTGTGTTTCTCAATCTTAGTGGCTTTAAGATGTATTGACTTCAATTCCCAAAATTGCTATGTGGGGAATTCTGGGAATTGCAATTGCCCATCTTAATATTGCCAAGTTTGAGAAACTCTAGAGCAAGCAAATTATCTCAGGCTATCAAATCAATATTTATTTTTTGTTTAAAATATATTGGAACATGGTCAGCTGTTAAATATCAAATTCTCCTTCAGTCATCACAGTTCCCTCTCTCTAGAAAGTTCAGACTGACACCTAAATCCTCTTTGTTTTTACAGTCACGTTGTACAGGGGAAAAATACTTAATAGAAGGAAAAATACTTAATAAAAATACTTAATAGTAGGAAAAATACTTAAGTAGACACAGTGGTCATGCATTTATTTGTGAGTATTAAAGTGAACAACTTCAGACCAATAAGAAACTGTCCTGTCTCTTAAACCAGCAGTCCCCAACCTTTCCAATTCCATGGACCGGCAATGGCGGGGGCAGTGGGTGGGTGGGTGGGTGGAAAGAGATGGTTTCATGGGCACACCTGCTGCTTGTGCAAATGGAGCTTCGTGCCCTCACCTTCTGCTTGTGCAACTTGGTTCCCAATGGACCGCAGATCGGTACCAGGCCACAGACTGGAGGTTGGGGACCCCTGTCTTAAACTGTTATTGGCTTTCAGAAGATGGACCCCCTATTTAACAGCAATACAAGGATTGTTGCAGGGGGTGGGGAGATAAACTTCCTCCCATGTACCATTCAAGTGTATTAATATTCTGCAGCCCTCAGCTGGTATTACTTGCTTAGAAAGATATAGGGGTATATAGCTATATAGCTTCAGTCATGCCAACCAAGAGCACAACTTCACACCTCTTCGAAACAACCAGCAAAGTAGGGCCCATTTTGAACTTGGGGGAGATTTCATTCCAGGATACAGCTACGTGATAGAGAAGACTTGCTTCTGGGATCATTCTGATAGATGGCACTGCTTACATGAAGGAACCCGGAGCACAACCTGCCAGATAAATTGGCTAGGTAGATACTGCAGGAAAGATGGTCTCGAAAATGAACACATTATTTAGGCTTTCCAATCAAATAAGAAACAAAATGTATATAAGAATTCATTCTCCTAATACTCCAGGTCCTTCTACTTAGAGTTCGATGTGCATTCAGCTAAGCATTCACCCAGTTTGTGCCTATAGAATTTTGGTTTCATTCACTATTTCCAAGGTTTCCATATAGAGGAATTTTCTGACCACTGCCATGCTTTGGAGGTGATTAGCATGCCAATTATAAAATTACAGAGGTATTTTGAGTTCTGTGTTTTTATTTACACCAAGTCCATATTTTGATAATGGAATCAGTAGAGCAGAAATATCTTTCTCTCTGTGCAAATATAGTTCCAATCCCCTATGAAAATAGCATTCTCCTATGTGCAGATGTGATGCTCCCACTTAAGGGAAAGTAGAGATAAGAACACATTTTCCCCTTGTTAATACATCCTAGTTATATTCAATTCTGAAGCTTAAATGTGTATTTGCAATAAATCATATAGATATTCATCACTGAACTGAATGACCTCCCTATAGTTGATGTTGCAACTAAAATTCCTTTGGGCATGCAGACTATTACATTGGGACTCAACACTCAATATTTCTAGAAGGCACCAGGCTGGAAAAGGGTGATATCATTACTTCTGCAATGCATGGAAGTCATAGTTCTTACTGAACTCAGTCAACTGGCTCATTACAAATACCTCTTAAACTAACTTTTTCCCGTGTGGTATTCTTCAAATACAGTGTGTGAAAACTCAGTTTTCATTGGCTAGAAGCCATCAGGTTGAGGAAGTTTGTCTAAAATGTAGAGCTCAAAAACTCCAGGTTACCAAAGAATAGTGGGAAAGATTCAGGTTTCTGTATCTGCTATTAGCTAGTGGTCATTCAGAGTTCTGCCAAAAATTGCTTTAAGTGGCTTACAAATAAAATTAAAAAAAAAGTTTATGGAGGTACAATTAAAAAACATGAGATTACTATAAAAAAATCAATAAATTCCACAGATGAACAAATATAAAGTGCTCCACAACCAAATACAGTATGCATTATAGCACAATTGTGAAAATGATGAAAAATATAACAAACAGAAATATTCATAATTTCTTTGGAGCTTAGGGAGAATTCTAATACTTCACCAAGACAATAACATATACTACCATAATTAAACATAAGGAAAACGATCACATATTAAAGACAGTCACCTTCAAAGGAAAGATAATTAGAACAAAAAATTGTGTTGGTGCTTCTACATATGTGAATCCATTCATTAGCTAGAAGTTGTCTTCAAAAACAGAAGGATGAAAATTTAACTTGATTCAATTAATGATAAATTTCCTGAAACATTTAGCCTATTCTGAAAACGATGCCACATTATAGACACAAACCATTTTCTTTTCACAAAAGATTTATTTATATGTGTCCAAAATACACGTAGAGAAAACAATGATCCAGAAATTCAGGCCAATGATCCATAAACCTATGCATGGTTACTCTGTGGTAAGGCCCTTGATTTCAATGGTTCTTACTTTGAAGCAGCATGCATATGCTGCTGAAATGATGGACAGATCAGTTTAGCCCAATTTCCTTTATGTAAAATAGGATACGGGAAGTCTTTGTTATACTCAGTGACTTTCTCTTCACTTTGAAGCAAGGAAGTACACTGTAATCATTTTTACTTTGCAGTCAACATGTTCAAAATGTCTCTATATGTGTCTGCATAAAGACTGTCTTTCCGTCTCTTCCATTTCCAAGAACAGCTTCTAATTCAGTGCAGATACTCATTCTATATTATCCTCTGAGACAAAAAGCAGGCAAAATAAAAATATTATGGTAGGCTTCCAAGACTGGTAGAACTTGTTTGACCATAGTTCCTACGTGACACAGCAGTTCAGGAAATGAATTCATGTTTGCAGATGTTTTCATTTAAGTCTGAATACAGACTTAAAAAAAGAGCCTTGATGGTACAGTGGTCTAAGCACCCTGTTATTAACACAGCTGCCTGCAATTACTGCTGGTTCGAATCTCTCCAAGGCTCAAGGTTGACTCAGCCTTCCATCCTTTCTAAGGTAGGTGAAATGAGGACCCAGTTTGTGGGGGCAATAAGCTGACTTTGTATAAATATACAAAAGTATGAAGGCTATTGCTTAATGCATTGTAAGCCGCCCTGAGTCTCCGGAGAAGGGCGGCATATAAATCAAATTAAAAAAAAAACAAAACATGGTGGCACTTCTTTACAATGGGTAGTCATTACCACGAAAAGATTCAAAATATCTCCAAGCATTCCCTGAGACAGGAATACCTCTGTAATTTTAGATAATTACTCCTATAGCTCTGAATTTGTAAAATTGCTTAAATTGCATTTCTCCACATGCTTGTTTAGGAAATAAGTCCTATTTAAGTCGGACAGACTAAGTATGTAGATCAATTTGTAAACTGCTTACGGCAACTATATACATTATTTAATAGTAGTGAAAATATGGCACAAATGGGAAACAGAATACAAAACAAAACAAGTTAGAGGAGGGGAACTGAGACTAAAAAGAAATCATACACTTGCACCTTTGTTTAAAATTCCCCACTTGTCACACCATTTGGTTTTTCTATTTTAGCTGGTTCTGAATAAAAAGTTTGCAATACAAGGAAAAAACAAGCCTTGCTTATTTATATGCAGTGATAAGCTTTAGTGTGGATTATACACGAAAAATCTGGGGCTCAAACATGAGGGGAGGAAGTATAATTAGTTTAAGGTGGAGTCTTGTTCCTTCAGGAGTATTATGGAAAAGTGTTCTTTATCCAAAACAAAATTAATCATCCTCAGATCTAACAAGGCTGGCAAAGACAATATAATGAAACAGCAAAACCTTTTAAACTCAGGGAAGAAAAATCTGGACTTGTTTTTTGTTTTCCAATTTCTAACATTAACAGATTAACAGAGTTGGAAGGGACCTTGTAGGTCATCTAGTCCAATCCCCCCCACCTACACCATTTCTGACAGATGGCAAGTCTCTCCTTGAAAGCCTCCAGTGATGAAGCTCCCATAACTTCTGACGGCAAAAAAGAAGTTAAAACATTTCAAATTCCCAACCAAGAGTTCCTTTATTATATTGGGTGTTGAAAAGTACCAACCAAGCAAGGCCTCAAAACCTGAGATATTCTAGAAATGAAAGATGTTGATCAGCAATCAATGTATGAAGAATTGGTGAATCTAAAATAAATTTTCTATTAGCCTCCTTACTTATTCAGGAATGAGGAAAATGCTTGATATATAGACAGTACATTTTAAAGGCAACTGAATTTTGTACTGGAGAAACAACGGGCTTAACACTTATGCCATTTTTCCATTAAAATCCTACCCTTTCACTCTTTTTTCCCTATTTTTTTACCCTTTTCGAAACAAATATAGTTAGCTTTATCTTTTTTCCCCCCAACAAGATTAAAAGCCATTTATAAGGAGGAGGGGCTTTCAATGACAAATAATTAAAACCAACTAATACGTAGTTTAACTTTTAAGTAAAAATCCTCTATAGATGGTATTAATTTTGCTCATAAAAACATTCAAGGAAGACAAGAACTAGCAAGATGGTTCTATCCTTCTATCACCATTTCCACGGCTCTTGCATGTTCAAAATGAAGCAAGAAGCCTCTTCTGTATGTAGAAGGCTCTCTGTGTAATGCTGAGTCTGGATTTCAATAGTATGCAAAATACCTTCACAACTGGTTCCCCATTTCAGATATTAGTCTAAATTAAAATGAACAAGGAAACCAAGATTGTATACAGGATGATCATTCTACCTCTTCACTGCTTAATGCTGAAGTTAGACTGAAAATATCTGAATAGATCTCAAGCCAGTTGCATTTCAGGACTTTGAAAGACCTTCTGAAACTTAGCATCCATCTGGTCTAATATCTATTTTATGAAGGTGGCTAGCCAGATGCTTTGTGTTAGTCCACTAGTGCTTTTGTTGCCCCTCAAATAACCTTCAGAAAAATTGCTCTTTAATGCATTTTATTTAGCTGCCATAACCAATATCCCCGATAAAGCTGATTCTCCATTAATTCAACCAATTCACTTTAAATTCCTTTTAAGGGAAAAGTTGACACCATACCCCATAGTAGCACATTCCAAAAATTCTATGTTGTGTAGAGAAGCATTCCTTTCTGTCTCTCCTGAATTTACTACCAGTAAGTTTCATGGAAAGAATGAAAATTCTAGTACAGTGACAAGGAGGAGCCATAGTAATGATAAGAAGCCATCTTTCTCCATATTGTACATGGTTTTATATACTCTTCCCAGCGTTATTAAGAGTTGGGTAGTGTGCAACTTAAATTATTAGCCTCCTTGATCTGTTCCATTCACTGTATTGGATTATATATATATCCCATTATTTTTGGTATAGCTCTCCTAGCACATTAAAAATATTTTAGACTGTTGGAGGATTCAAAATTAGGTAGGCTACTGTAAGGTACTTCTCAGACTTTTTTCTTAATAAAGTGAGTTTACTCATAAAGGAGTTATCAAACTGCCTTTTTCTAAATCTTTTGTTGTTCCTTTTGTTTGGGATTCTTTGAAAACAATTCTTTGAATTTTATTCGTAACTTCTGCATCAAATTTGCTTGTTTTGCTCAGAAACAATGCAATTCTATGCATTTATTCAAGTTATACAGCTGCCCAATTCATCATTGTGACTTTGGGGATCTTACAACAGTTAAAAAATGAAAAAAAAGACACCATAACTAGCAGTCAAGGTATATGCAAGTATTCACAATAAAATCTCAGTAGGAAATCCTCATAGATTGGATGCTTTCAGTGAGCTAACTGAAAATCTACTCGACTCCTTTCAGAGTCTGAAACAATAAGACATTTTCCTTTGGTCAAATTTTGGTCTTTCTATTTAAATATAAAGTGTTAGCTTTTAACTCGGCAACTTTACATTTTAGAAATTAAACTTCTACAATAGAATTTAACATAGAATGATTCTTTTTTCATTGCTGTGAGTTTTATAAATTGCAGATAAATTGTTTTAATTGCAGATCTTTATGATGGCATAAAAATATGAGAAGGAAATGAAAATGACTGATGATAAAATTTCTCTTCAAGGATCTCCAGTGCAGTGCTCATGAGGAAAAATAAGCCCACAATAGCTTTCCTTGATCATTCCCAACGTTTTTAAAAGGAAAAAAAAAGGTAAGTATTAGGTAAAAGAGAAGGACAGGCAGAGTCACAGAGAACCAAAAAAGGAGGAGGGAGGATAAAAAATTGGTGACTTGCCACAATTTTTTGTCTTTCTTAACTTTTAATGCCATGGACACTTTAAAAAAATTAGTTGCCAAGGTTGAGAAACCTTGAGAAATGTTAAGCTAATCTTTCTGGGACAGCCTCATCCAGATATGCTGGGAATGAAGGTCAAGGTTTTAGAAGCTGAAGTCTAAAATCTGAACGGCACTCAGCGGGGGAAGGTTGAGCAAAACAACGCTGAAGGAAGCATAATATTTCTTTGAAAATGCCTGCTGTTTGAAAGATGGGGAAATTCTACTTGTCCATATAAATGAAGTATTAGGTCTCTTTCCCTGGGGATGGAGATGTTACCACAATGACAAATTACAGGTAATGAACCTGTCTGCACCTTATTATCACAGAAAGGTTTGTCACCAATTACCTTTACAAATGTCTGGCAATTCTGCAAAAATTATCACTATAACAGGTTTTATTGGCTGCCATCCCATGCATAACTCTCTTAATCGCAATAGCAGCCCTGCCAGGCCAGCACCCTGCAGTGAGTGGATAAAAACCTTCAAAAACTGCCAAGAGGAAGCAAAAATAGCTCTCCCTTATAAAGAAGAAGGCTATAGTTAGGAAGCTAATTCTGCTTCCAATATATGTGTGTATATATATATATATATATACACACACACACACATATACATACATATATGTGTGTGTGTATATGTATGTATATGTATATATGTTGTATCAACAAATAACACACATATATATTCTATCCTTCCTATCAGGATCATCTCACCTTATTTATAAATATTATTTCATTCCAATTGTCACATTCTACCTACCCCCGTTCCACCATTACACTTTGGCATATTTTGCATTCTTCCCCTTCAAATGTATTCTCCCTGCCCCCCCCCCCCCCCCCGATTATTTGCACATCCCATAGGACCAAGCAAGAGATTACTTATCACAGGTCAGCCTAGGATTATTGGGGTGTATTTGAACTACTACTCCAACCACCATGCTACGGAAGATTCTGGGAATTCTCTTCCCCAAGTCATCTAGAGGGCACCAGGCCCCAGGGCAGCCTGTCCAGATCCCAGGGCAGAACGGGGAAGTCTAGCAGGCGATTCAAGGGCTGGAAATCTGGTGGCCAAACTTTCGTCATCCGTTCTCTGGAGCAGTGTTTCTCAATCTCAGAAACTTTAAATTGTGTGGACTTCAGCTCCCAGAATTCCTCAACCAATATGCTAGCTGGGGAATTCTGGGATTAAAGTCCGCATATTTTAAAAATTGTTGAGGTTGAGAAACAGAGCTCCAGACCTTCCTGAGTTATTCCTGCCTTCTTATTAAAATCCAGATCGATCTTCTAAAGCAAAACTATTAAAATCTAAGCAGAACTTGAACATATAAGCACACATTTCCAGATTTCCCCCTGCAAACCCAACCACCGAACAAGCCAGTCGAGAGTTAAGGTCAGCTGCTTCCAAGAAAGCGCATACTATTTATAAAATGGCAGCCTCAACAAGTTTCTCTCAGTACCAAACACCTCCAGATCTTCGCGCGAGTTTCTTTTCCTCGAAAGGCGCTAAAAAAAAAAAAAAAAAAAAAAAAATCCTCTTTGCACACTGCGATAAGCGCGATTAGCATCTCGAGTGAACCTCCTGAGGTTCCGGCGCCGCGTTCGCAGGGCGTGGCGCGGCTGTTCGGCTGAAAGAGGAGCCACCGTTCCGACCGGCGCCCCCAGTTCAGCCTACGATCCCGCCCGCAGCAGAGTTCCTGCGGGTCCGTCTCCAAAATCAGGGTCTGCCTAGATCGCCCCTTTTCTTTCCTCGGCGGGCATCTGAGGCATCTCCCTTTCCTAAGAGCCGGAACGAGTTGACCGCCGGGACCAACAGGTGGGCTTCCAAACTCACCGAGAGTATCCACAGGCCGAGGTATCCAGCCATGGTGCAGCAATCCCCCCACCGTCCTGAACTTTCGCGTCCTGAACTCCGGGTCGACAGCAGCCACCCTTTCCGCTCACCTCTCCGGAAGGGAAATAGGGACTCCGCTTGGAGCGCTTGGACTCTTGGTGGCGACTTAACCCAACCCCTTTCCTGCCGGTGGGGAGTAATGAAAACAGGGCTGGTTACCAGCGGCAGGGGGGAGGAGGAGGAGGAAGAGGAACAGCCGAAGGGCGGAGAATATCGGTCTGGAAGGGCACACCAGGTGGCTGCGGGAGCCCCGCCCGGCCTTTGAGTCAGGTTTCTGTGGAACTGAGAAGGGTGGGGAACGGGGACTATTGACTTTCCCCTTTTAGGAAGAAAGGGTTGCATCTGCAGAAGTGCGAGGCTTCAATGCAGCTTGAGTTCCTTTTGCTCCAGCACGGCCTGTTGCTGCCTGACGGCAGCCAACTCTTCCTTTTCCTCCTTCCTTGGGGGCAAGATGCTGACTCTGTAAACCGCTTAGAGAGGGCTGTAAAGCGGTCTTATAAGTCTAAGTGCTCTTGCTATATACTCTTGTCCCGGCGGAATTCCCCATCGCTTCCCTTCCCTGTTCTCAATCGCCCCATAGGGAGTTTGGAGCAGTGGTGAAATCCAATTTTTTTTTACTACCGGTTCTGTGGGCGTGGCATGGTGTGGCTTGGTGGGCGTGGCAGGGGAAGGATACTGCAAAATCTCCATTCCCACCCCACTCCAGGGAAAGGATGCTGCAAAATCCCCATTCCCTCCCCACACCTGGGGGAAGGATATTGCAAAATTTCCATTCCCACCCCACTCGGGGGCCAGCCAGAGGTGGTATTTGCCGGTTCTACGAACTGCTCAAAATTTCCGATACCGGTTCTCCAGAACCTGTCAGAACCAGCTGGATTTCACCCCTGGTTTGGAGCCATCTTATTGCTTTATGTATTTTATCCGCTTGCCTTGAGGATACTCTCCTACACGTCTGTCTCTGCGATCCGTCGATCCCACCGAAAACAATGTGTCCAGAGGGTACCGGGACGGCCCAGACACACGAAACGCGCTCCACTCCCCTCTGTCGGGAACTCAAAACAGTGTAAGATGCAAACGGAGAGAGGAAAGGGAATGATAAAAGATTTGTTTTACAGCACGGCAGCTTCGTTTTCAGATGATGGATTATGGTTTGTAGTACCGGCCGCGTCTTGCAAAGGTTAACACTTGTGGGCGATGGTCAAATTGCTTTGCTTTCCCTTAGTGGGTTGCTACTTCATCAGAGCAGGAATGATGAGTTTACCTACAATCCTTTAAATGGTCCATTTAAGCTTGTGGTTGTCATAAACTCGGGGCCTGGATTAAGATGCTTTGCAGGTCGAAAGAGGTGTACTTTCGGCAGCGAGCGGAGGATGGTGGACGCTTGTTAAAGTAATTTGTTCTTAACCGCCAAGTGTAAGGACTCGGCGTTGCTTTGGATTTGCTGCTAATAAATAACCTTGAATGAATTGTGAGTGGAAAATGCTTCTCTTTTCGCTCTCTGCCTGACACTTTGAATATTAAAGTTTTCCTTCCTTAATTGCCTCTTTATTTCTTGATAGTCACACTTTCTTTGCTGAATGGTGTTTTCTCTGCCTAGTTAATGGTTCCCCCTCTCCCCCAAGGTATAATTCAAACCAATTTATGTAGGAAAACTGTTTCAGCCTATTGACCAAGGTTAATGCTTGCCTAATTTCAACACAATCATGTATTCCTAATAGATCTTAAATTCATCCAGTAAGGCATGTTTTGTTACTAATACCAACTCCTGTTGGAAGGACAAACAGAAGTGAAAACATAACAGAATAATAGAGTTAGAAGGGACCTTGGAGGTCTTCTAGTCCAACCCTCTGCTCAAACAGGAGACTAGTCTATACTGTTCCAGACAAGTTGCTGTCCAGTTTCTTCTTCAAAGCCTCTAGTGATGGAGCACCCACCACTTCTGAAGGCAAGCTTTTCCACTGGTAAATGTTCTCATTGTTAGGAAATTTCTCCTTAGTTCTAGATTGCTTCTCTCCTTCATTAGTTGATCAAGTGATCATGATCAAATTGATCTAAAAACAAGGGAGAGGTTTACAAAGATAAGTTTTTTTTTTTAAAAAAATGCATTTCTAGACTTGGGCTTTTGTTCCTTTTTTTATCTGACATTGGTGATAAAATCTCATGTCCAAAAAGATTTTGCACATCATACAAGCCAAAAAGTACATTCATATATATTGATGATGACAATTATACTGATGGCAAATAAATTTGTACACACAGTTACATCAATGCATTTCTTTATAATATATTTGAAGATACCCTTGTTAAGATTATGGCACTGGTGCATACACAGTTGGTACAACTGGTGTGCGGAACTCACAGGTGGGCAAACACTTTTTTTCAGGCCAAAAAGAACAAGATATATTGAGACTGTTAAATACCTACTGGATGAATAAAATTAAAAAGTGTTGGACAAAAAACAAAAATGTTAGACTTACATTCTACTAAGTCATTAAGGGCTACAATATCAGAGGTGCAAAAATCCAGTTTATGGATCATGGTGCAAAGGGATACAAATAATGTGAACTCTGTTGCCATTTAGAAGTTATTTGGAATTATATAGCCTAATTTTTCTAGGTTTTAGAACATACATTAAACCAAAGCCATGCAAACCACAATGGTGCAATGGGATTTTTGAACCCATTTGTAAATCACATAATTATTTTATAAATTTGGGATTTTGGGGTGGATTTTAAACTGGGAATTTTGTGCAAATCTAACCATTTGTGATTAAGCCTGATTACATTTTGTTACAAATTGTGTTACATACACACAAATATTTTGAACAACTGTACAAAGTTTTTATTTGCAGTATCCATCCTTAAAACTTGGAAACAATGTATGTATTAGATGAAAAATCAGAAACAAGCAGTAACCTGCCAAGCAATTATTTCTGTTAACAGGACTTGCTTAGACTTGTTATGATGTTTCCAATATGGATTCTTTTTAAGGGTGTAGCAGTATCTTGATTCTTGGACAAGAGATTTTAAATGGGGGAGGGGAGAGAGAGAGAGAGAGAGAGAAAGAGAGAATGAGAGAGAAAGAGAATGAGAGAGAAAGAGAGAGAGAGAGCGTGCAGCGGTGCTAGTTCTTTCAACTGGAAACATTCAAAAACATAAATTTGTTCTTATGAATGGAAAGGTTTTGATCATTTTGTTTTATTATGGATACTGTGCTTCTGTTTCTGTTTCCGGGTTAGTATCCAGCTTCTGTCCCTGTTGTCTTCTTCACTATGACTCAAGACTATGAATGGTGAGAAAGATTCAGAAAGAGAACCATCTGGTATTGCAATTTAATGAAGAGGGTAGAATCGTGTGGAGTATTAGGACCAGGGGTTCTAAGTGTGATGTGAAGTGGAGAGCTGATCAAATGCCTTTTGGGGAACACTGTCTTCCACCAGAGAACACTGCTTAATAACATGACCATGAATGAATTTATATTAAAGTCATTGTGGCAAAATTACAATGGCATCTAGATCAGGCTGCCCAATGTTCTTGGAGAGATGGAATAAAACATTATTTCGACAAGGGAGGGGGAGTCATATTTGAGTGATAGGCCTTGGTAGGGCTCCAGTTGTTATTTGCGGATGACAAATTGCAATATCATCCTGGTAGTCTAGACAGAATCTCTAGACAAGGGAAATACAAAACAGCTTCTAACCTGCTCTTTGTAGATGTAATGTTATATCTACGTAATACTTACCTACAGTATATCAAGTTCATATGTCTTTACAGTCAAGCTTAGTTCTTAATTAATCAAAGGTTTATTTGATAATGGCTAGGGGCTCAGTATATGTGCAACTCTGCCCTCTATTTTTTCCCCTATAACACCTTTGTGGGATATATTGGGCTGAAAAAAACTGACTGCTCCAAAGTCACCCAGTGAGTTTTCATGGCTGAATGTAGGCTCATTTCCACAATTTTAATCAAAATCTTAACATTATCTGTGAATGATGACAATATTTCAGCCCACTTCTTGGATTGGTGGAAGTTTCAGGGAACTTTAAGGAAACATCATCTGATCCTATAAATTTTCCTATGTGAAAAAAAATTGCTCCAATATGTAGATTTCAGGGATGGCTAGTTTTATTCCTTAAAACCAATCCAAATCATCCCAGAAATTAGTCTAAACCATGGTTTTGTCAACTCCAGGCGTTAACTGTAGATTCAAAGAACACTAAAGAGAGAGGTGTCCCCTACCTTGATCAATATATTTCATTTTAGTTCTCCCCTCAATCTCATCCTTGAAATTGGGCCAAATGAGGGCATCTAACACCAAGACTGCTTCTGCATTTCATGTTGTGTGCTTGTTTTTTCCTCCCAAATGTTTGTTAATCTTTTTAAAAAATGAATTCTAAAATGTATTTTAAAAATAATTTTAAACATATCTATGTTCTTGCACCTTAATGAGTCAATGATAAAATCTAAAAATCTTTTGCACAATGATCAAGCCTAATTTTCCAGTATCTATTGCCTCTCAACTAGAGTCTTAATGGTGATGTCAGACAGCTGAATATTGAAAAAGCAATTCTTACTTGTGAAACTTTCTCAGACTCCATTCACAAATTCCACTCCCAAATTGAGCTGACTAAGCCAAAGAAAACACATTAATCATGCACAGGCCTATATATACAATTAACTCATTTACATGTTTGGGAAGATTCTACCTTGACTGAGTCATTTAGTGTTTGATTCTGCTCAGTTTGAAATCAGGGATTACTTTGGGATAAAGTTCTAATTTAGTATATTTTGAAAGTTCTGCCTTCCTAGCTGATTAGGTTTTGGTCATTTTATCTTTTAACTACACTTAAATGCATTTAATTCTGTTTGCATTGTTTTGAAGGTTGCTTTGAGTCCTGAAAGCATATGTACATGTCTTAATTTTCTCTATAAAACAATGAAAGTAGTCATACTGTGATTGATTGGTGATATAACAATAAAGCATGAAGAAACAGCATTTTTGGAAGCGGGGAAGACACAGATATTTGCCATTGAAGGCCACATACAATAATGTCACTCAAGAGGGAAAGTCTAAAGTTTTTGACTCATTTGGAGGAAACATTGAAAGGCAATTTCAAAAGCAAAAATAATGTTGCCTTTTAAATAATACATAACAAAAATATCTAATCAATAACAAAAC